TGACTGCCTGCCTACCAGCCCGTCGTCTCTCTGAACCCAGGCCCTGGCTTTCCCTACTGCCACATCTAGGGCTCTCAGAGGGACTGAAAAGACTATTGTGTTTCTCGCCCCCACAGGAGAGGCAAGAGAAAGCACTAGGCATCCTGACGTACTTGGGCCAGAGTGCAGCAGAGGCCCAAACTCAACCTCCTTGGTACCAGCTCCCCCCAGGGAAAGGGGGCTGCCCTCCAGGCCCAAGCCCAGATGAGAAGATCAAGAATCGGTTGGACCCATTGAGGGAGATGCAGAAGCACCTGGGAAAGAAAAGGCACAGCAGCGAAAGCCGTCCTTCTAGAGAGGAGAGGCCTCAGAAACAACGGCCCCGAGAGTAAGAATAGACTTAGTCCACAGTAGAGCAGAGTGAGATTCTGGGGGCCCTAGCACATCAGTGTAGTTATCACAAAAAGCTCAACAGGAAAGGCAGGTTGAAGTGCTTCTTAATATGTGGTCTACAGACCTCTGTGGAGACAGACTTCATTTAGGATTTTAGGAATAGTATCTCCTCTTATGGCTAAGGGTATGTGTGGTTGCTTCTATGCAGGATTTCTCAGGTTTTTTTTTGCCTTTTTTTTTTTTTATGTGCATGGGTGTCTTGCCATGACTCCAGCAGCACGGGGGTGGGGGGGAGAGGCAGGTGGACAGGGCCAGCCTGGTCTACAAAGTGAATTCCATTATAGCCAGAGCTACACGGCACGGAGAAAGCCTGTCTTGGAAAAACCTACCTTAAAAGAACTTTATGGCCCTTAGGTTTTTTGGTGTTTTTTTTCCCCCCCATGAGATAAGGTCTCACTACGTAGCCCTGGCTATCCTAGAACTGACTGTGTTAACCAGGTTGGCTTTGAACTCAGAGATCTGTCTGTCTCTGCTTCCCAAGTGCTGGGATTAAAGCATACCTGCATCACACTCAACTGTCTTATATTGCCACAACAGAAGGCAGCACACAGGAAGAGCCTTGTTTGACTTTGATCCTCAGTTTTGTTCTTTTGGTTTTTTGAGACACGGTTTTTGTGTAGTCCAGGCTATCCTGGAATTATCAACTGCAGAGGGGGTACTCACAGACTAGTCTTTTTATTTCAAAATGGTGCAGGGGCCCATTTTGAAATAAATATGCTTTCTTGACCTGGAGGGGCATGTGATCTTAGAACCATAGGGGAGGCACAGCCCTTGAAGTGAGTCTAAGGACTCACACATGTGACCCAGAACCAGGTGGCTTCTCTCAAGCTTTCTGCTCTTACTCTCTTCTCTCCAGGCCACCTTCCCTACAAGAGCTCCGAGCTGAGCGTCTTCAGCGAGAAGCAGCTGAGAGGGCTAGAACAGAGGCCCTGCTGGCCCGTGTACAAGGCCGAGCATCCCAACAAGGTCAGGTGGAAGTGGAAGAGACAGATGAACGGAGGCGGCGGTACAACTCCCAGTTCAACCCTCAGCTGGCCCGGCGCCCACGCCAGCAGAACCCCACTCCTGCCCACTAACTCTTGGGGGAATAGGAGAGGCTGCAGCTGCCAGCCGTCATATAAAACTATTTATTCATAAATATTTTCCAAAATGAAAATAGGTTTACCAAAAAATGTCCCTCACTGGGGAGGGGAGGAGGGGGCAACTCTCACCCCCAGGCCCCCAGGGTAGGGCAGAGAGGAAGAGAAAACCTCCCTGCCCTTTCCCTGCTCCTGGAGGGGAGGGTGCCCCATGGCCTTGGGCCTCCCCCAGTCTTCCAGGGCAGGGCCCTCACCTGGGCAGGGGGATCAGCATGCGGGGGGGAGGGGTCAGGTAGAGGGGGCCGGTGTCACTGGAGGTCCCGGTCCTCCAGGTAGCGGTACTCAAAGGTGAAGCCTTCCTTCTTCCGCTGGCCCCACTTCTCGTAGTCAAAGTAGATGTAGGTGCCCTGGCCGGGGAAGAAGGTGGTCAGTGAGTGGACGAGGAGGGGAGCTGAGATCTGGGCCAGGCAGATGACAAAAGAGGCAGTTGTCAGGTACATGGAGGTGCCAGTCTGATTGTTGTACATGCTTGCACTATTATGCTCCACCCTTGGTGGTTGTAGAGTGGTGAAGGGGAGACAAAGAGGGCAAGCCCCCGGTGGGCCTGCAGGCTTTCTCTACAGCTTTGGAGGACACAGCCATGAGGCCCACATTATGTTCAGACCCCGAGGAATGGGGACAACAGGTGGCCCACAATGTAACAGATGTACAGCATCCATATCCAAGTGCTCTACAGTGACACACACTTCATTGTAACTGAGATTCTAGGACTCAGTGCCCTGAGATGTATTCGAGGACCAAACCAGGAAAGGACAACAAGTCTGAAATCGAGGTTGGCAGCAAAAGAAAGAAGCTGAGTCAAGTGTCTGAAATGCTTCAACATGGTCTGGAAGAATGTAGGAAATGGAGTAGAGTTCTGTAAGAATGGGGACCAGTGAAGGCCAGCTTGGCACCCGGAAGTGTAGGTGGGGAAATGTGTACAGGGGAAGCCACCATGGAACACACCAACTGAAAGCAATTAAAAAGAAATCCATGACGCTCACTGTATAGCAGGCACCATTAGTACTTACATGTTATTAACTCATTTAATCCTTGTAACAACTGCATGAGATGGGTACTGTTACTCCCATTTTTACAGAGAGAAACAAACAAGAGAGGTTCGCTTGACTTGCCCAAGATCATCCAGCGAAAGCTGGGCTCAAACCCAGATCAGCTGGCTTTGAGGTATTTAGGGAGAGTGGAGTTTCCAATCAACTAATGACTAAGACTGGAGAAGGCTGCCTAAACAGACTTCCTTCCAATTATGCTCAGTCCCTGTTCTGCTGGTTGCCAGGAAAATAAGGGGTCAATGAGGTCAGGTTTGGGAGATGCCAACTATAAATATAAAATCCCACACTCTTAACTAAGAACCTAGGGCTGCATGGTAGAGACAGCAGCTCAAGGAAAGTTTTCTCTTTGGGCACTAAGAAGTGGACAAATGGAGAGCCCAGCATCCCAGGAGTGTGGGAGGTCAGTATGGTCAGTCTATAGGACTGTGCTTGAATATCAAAGGCCAGCAAGTCTGGGCTTGGGGACACTAACCAAACCCCAGTGAGACTAGGGCAGGCGGGGCCCTCACCTGCTCAAACTCATCGGTGATGGTCTTGGGCTCCTCATGCCTCTGGAACCACATCATGTACTTGGTGTGGAATCGCCAGGACTGCTTCTTTAGGGCCTTGGCTGCCAAGTACTGTGCCTTGGTTCCCTGGGAGAGAAAATGCAGAGAAAGATCAGGGGGTATCCAAATTGGGTAGGGAATGGGGGATAGGGCAGGGCATCAGGGCTAGACCCAGGCCCCCACCACAGACCAGCTGGGGCGGAGAGTCCATTTGCAGACAGTGCTAGGAGCACAAACATACCATGGTCAGAAGAAAATGAGACAGGAGGTGAGAATTGCTTTCAGAAAAGCTTTGAGAAAGAAGAGAAACTAATGCATAAAGAAAGCTGAGAGGAGACTATGTAGAAAACTCAAAGGGAGATGGGAAGGGGCTGACTTGCTGCAATTAAGAGGTCAGACAGTTCCCTAGAGGTCTCTAGGGAGGCCTGAGAGTACCTGCAGTTCAAAGGCTATCCTCAACTAAAGGGTTTACCAGGAGCTGAGAGCTCTTGGTAGTTGAGTGTGTACACAGCCTAGGGCCTGCAGCCTTTCCCTTAGTCTGAGCAATTAGAATGCCTTGGGACTGGACAGGTTTGAGGGGGCCTGGGATGGGGAGGGGTGCGGTCCCAGTGGCCGCAGTGGGACACCCACCTCGCCCCTCCAGCCCGAGGGGGGATGGCAGCGGTGGCGGCGGAGCTGAGGGGCCCGAGGCTGCCCCGGGGGCCCTGCTGTACCTCCAGATAGTAGAAGATGAAGAAGAGTGTCTCAGTTGACAGGCGCTGGTAGAACTCCACGGTGTCCGAGTGTGGGGGTGGCATCTGGTGGTGGTAGGGGGGCGTCGGGCAAGGGTTCCGGGGGAGGTATTGCCTGTGAACCAGAGAGGACTTAGTACCAGGTGACTTCCAGTTCCTGTCCTGCCTGCAGGAGGGTGTTCTGAAGCACACTTCAGCCTGCTCTAAGGAGCCCCAAGCCAAGTCCTCAGCACTTTGAGATGAGTACTCTACCTAGTCTCTCAAGGCCCAGGAACCAGCTCCTCCCTCAGACTGGGAGACAGGGTCCCCAGCCCCTTTCTGCAGCCCCTCACCGAATGCGCTCTGAGTCAGAGGGGTGGGGCATATGGTGCCAGGCGGCCTCTTCCATGGCCTGCTGGTAGAGCTGCTCCTTGGTGAGGGACACTGGCCCCAGTGGACACACACCCAGTGACAATGGTATGTTCACCTCTGAGAGCTGCAGGGGTGGCTGGGCTGAGGTGGGGGGTGCTGATGTGCTGCTCAGGATGATGTCTGTAGGGAGGGATGGGGCACCAGGCCCCTCAATGATGAGGATGGATTCAGTTTCTTCTTGGCTTTTGCCCTCCCCACCATCCCATGATTTTCACCTCGCTCTGTTAGGTGTAAGGTTGGCACTGGGTCCTCAATACCAGAGCTGATAGCTGCCCGTTCTGCCATGGATTTCAGAGAGCTCAGAGGTTCAGGGGCCTAGGAAGAAAAAGGGGATGAGCCTCAAGACCTGGAGCAGAGACTGGGTTACACAAAAATAAAAAGCCTGATGGGACCTGTACACTCTGCCTACTCTTCTGTTGCCAGTTTCCTATTTGCAAGATCTACCTATATTATGCTATAACACCATGGCTGTACGTAAGCTGCACATTTGAGGTCACC